CCTTTGCCTTCTGCAACTTCGGCAGTGTGTCTTGAGCTCTTGTCAGTGAAAATGTGCTGCTTGTGCAATTTTATGCCTAAAGCTAGATTAGTCTTTCTCCTCTATATCCAACTATGTCCAAAGTACTTTAGGATCTTCATTACAGAAAAGGAAAAAAAATCAAAGTACTGTTATCACCTAAGCTCTTCCCCAATTTATAAGAAAATTCCAGTTTGAAGTTTCTCAGATGTTTTTCCTGCAGCTTCCTCCAACCACACACTGCTGTTACTGATTTTCCTTTTACACTACTGTATTCTGTTCACTTTAGTTGACTGTCATTATCCACCAACAAAAATTATACTGCAGGATCTGTGAAAAAAACATGGCTCCAGAAGTGCACAATATAATTTCATCAATTATTGGAGACCAGTTCCATTGAGCCTCAGGTCAAGGCAACTTTCCTGATATAATGTACAAAATTTATGACTACTTGTAGTAGTCCTTAAAAGCACATTTTGTCATTCAGCTGTGACAGAATTTCATATCTGAAAGAACTGTACTGACTTTACTTACCCTGGACTTGAGGGAACCTTCCCAATTTTCATCCACATACCTCTAGGACAGCTCCTGCATAAAGCTGTAATAATAAACAGAAGTTGTCAATGACACCAAAAATCTAAATTACTAGTTTACTTACGGTGTGTTATCTGTCGAACTATTTTTCTTTGAGGAGACAATACACCATTGTGTTGATAGTAACTACAGAGAAATAAGATCCTATATAGAATCACAGTTCCAGACGTGTCTCTGACTTATGCAACAACTGACTGTTCACTCAAGATACATTATAACTTCCATTCATTATATTAAAAATGTAAAAACAGGAAAAATACCATTTAAGATATACTGTTGCTGAAAGCAAAGGTTCATTTAAAAAAATGTAAACCGATGTTACAATGGGAATTATGGACTAGTAATAGGAAAACTTTATTTCTGCCTTCCCAAAGATGCTAAGAAAGTCTCATTAAGTGAAATTTTAGTTTCCATTTTAAATCTCACTTGGACAGTGAAATACTGTTTCTAATAAAGATAAAGCAGTGACTTTAGACTTCTCATTTGGGCTACCTATTAGCTTATTGTAGACTACTGTGACTGCAGAAGGAGGACAGATCACATTAACAGGCCTTAGCTGAAGTAATATATACAGGCTGGGATAACTCTGATGCTTGCACTTAGATGTCAATCACTTCTGTCAGCTGCTATGCAAGATACTCAGATTCAGTGTTCTTAGAGAAAAGTATAAGTTTATTTCAATTTTATGTAGTATCTAAATAAAAAACCCTACTGATCTTGTATACTGTCACTTGTTTAACTTTTTGGGGTTTTTTGCCAACATCAATTGATTCTATATTTTTATGAATCTTAAATATAAATTATCAACATATTTTTCCAGATACTAAAATAAAACTTCATACTGTAAAGTTCGGCATTTTAACCTTAGACATAGTTGTCAATACTGTATACCAAATCACTTCCTTCTAACCCTGAAACCCCACTGTTTATAGAGAAGCTGACAAGATAAGTTTCAGTTAAGAATTTTAATTCACTTCATTACCTGCTATAAATAATACCTCTGCTTCTGTTTTGTTTTAGACAGTGTTTTCATAACAAATGTGCAAGACAGGACACAGAAAAATATAACCTCGCTGAAATAAAGCAAATTCACATTTCACTTAAATATGAGCTGTGAATACTTGTAATCAAAAATAAGCTTTAACTATGAAAATTAATGAGTACTAACCCCTCTGAAAAAGGAGTGACAAGTCATAAAAGCAAACCACACACAATATGACAGAAATCTCAAAGACAATTTTATTAACACTTCATCACCTATCTATGTAGGTATTAAGTGCAGCCAGGAATACATCTTAATTTCAGAACATGAGTTTTCTGAATTCAGGTCCAAGTCAATATTTGCTTAAATACTACGAATTAGCACATAAGAAATTCTCTAATCATTTGCAGGGAAATTACAGCTTCTTTCCTGACATGAACTAATCATTAATCACATGACACAGAACTAAAAATGTTACATTATATTATCTGTTCAGAACAGCATCTCAGAAATTTGCTTAACTACATTTACATTTTCAACTAAACATTAAAGATAAAAACTAAGATTTGACTGTTAAAACCCAGAACTGATATGAAACAATACTTAAGCAATCAAAAACACCACATTTTGTTATAGCTTTTTTTCACCTCCCAAATGAAGATATTAATTAAAAAAGGCAATGAAACAGCTCAGATACTAGCTTGCATAATTGAAGTTCCTCTGGACCTAAAACATTAAATAATTACAAAGATGGAAGAAACATGGAGTAATGAGATTATAAACTTACCTTGTCACTATTCATTATTCTTTAAAAAACATTCAACAACAATTATCAGCGATCCTCAATTTAGATATTAGTTTGCACAAACACTAATACACTGAACATTTATACTGTTTCTCTGAAACTGACAGTTATCTGTATTTTCCTATCAAGAAGTTAGTATAAAGATATAGACAAAGGAATAAATAGCCTTCTTCCATCTTGTTAACTATTTTATATATGTGTATGAAGAACTAAGTACACCCAAATTTAGCACAATGGTAAAACAAGCATTTTTCAATTCTCATTACTCAAAAAAAATTAGTTTATTTCTTCCTCTCAGACAAGGATTTCTACAAAAAAAGATCACTGTAGGACACTAAAATACATAAGACATCTTGTAACTACTAACTACTCCCAGTTTGTAACTCCTAGCCAATATCTGATAGAAGTAAAGTTTCACAAAGAAAACACCTCAATTGCTGATGTCTATATTTTGAGCTTATAACTCTGCTGTAACTGAAGTCCAACTGTGCTGGTACAAAAAAGTTCAGATTCATGCTGGGACAAACCAGCCGCTCTCTAGATGGCTAGACAAGAAAAAAGAAAAATCAATTGGCTTCATTTATAACTCTAAACAAAAGTGTCTTTTGCAAGAAACATAGGTTTATTTGCATCACTCAGCCCACAACAAAAGCATACTTGTTAGTATCTACTGCTGCTACCGTCCCATCATGTCCAGAGCAGACGTCCTTCAAATTTCCTTGTGAAGGCATTTACTGTGTTCAAGTATTACTGAGAACAACATGTATAACTCAGTGTGGAGGCCTACAAACATGACGAGTCAGTTCATTAAGCAATGCTTAACCCATAAGTTGGTTCATTTTAAAATAATGCTTCACTTGTCAGTACTACAAGCAATGAAGTAAAGACTTTCTGAACTATTACTAGTATCCATTTTAACATCCAAAACAAGTGCTGTTACATGATTTCCAGGCTGATTCATGTCTGCATCTATAAAAATAGCTTAGCTTTTTAAAAAACATTCTAAGAGTATGCTTTCTAAGGCTATTGTGACAAAATGTGAACTTTTCCCTCATCTTTTACAAAGCATCAGCTTGAGCTAAATTTCATTGAAATGCTTTCTGTAAGCACCTAAATGCCTTGTAATAGTTCACACTGACGCAATGAAGATGGCTCTTCACAACTGAAAGGAGGAAAACCACACTATCAGTCACATCTGCTTTAATGATGAAGGAAAGCGGTAATTATAACAGAATTAACCACCACATATAAGAAGAGTGTTAGATAAAAATATGTATTGTAAAAATAATTGTTACAGCAATTAAAGACAAGGAACCTTAAGTGAAAGAAAACATTTCACCTATTATTAGGAAGGAAATTTAAGTGATTTCTGCAAGACAAAATTCCAGCTGCACTTCACTTACAAATAGATATGGTACTGTTATCACAATTACTCATGGTGAAAACTCCAGAAGAAAAATTACATTGCTGCTATGAAGCTGCTATACAACTGTTACTGTTTACAACCAAACAGGAATTCAGATCAAACCAAACTGAAAAAAATGGTACTTAACAGAGATTGCTCCTTGACCATAATAAAATACTGTTAGATCAAAGGTGACAAAAAAGTTTCGTAATATACAGTAAGTTATCCCTAATTTTACTTCCATAGCACCTATGCTTTGCACACTGGTTTCTTCTAACTGCTGACTAAGCCTGACCCTGCACAGGTTACAGTGTCACTCAAACTGGGTTTGTACAGCTGTTTTCAATCAGCTAAAAAATATAGTAACATCATGTCTTAAAACATGCAATGAAACATAATGAAACATGCTGCTGAGATAGCGCCACACAATGGTAAATTGTTATCTTATGGTACCTGGATTCTCTCTGATATCTGCAATTTTCCTCTCCTAATATCAAACTGTTTAAAAAATGAAGTTAAGCTCTGAGAACAAGCAGTAAAACACAACTTAGGACTACCGGCTAAAACTCTGGAATTTTCGCTTGCCTCATGTACAAGACAATCTTCCACTAAATATTTACTAACAACTAATCTCTTTCCAATGCAAGCAATTTTTTTAAATTAAATTCACTGTAATTTTGATTTCATGTTACTATATAAGCAGCTCTGCTGAAGAAACCACCTCATCCCCTATCAACTCATACTATTGTTTCACTTCAAAGAAAAGTCAAGAAAAATACAGATATTATTCGTCTTATTGGCCAAAGTTGCTTCCCATGTGCAAATTGGTATTGTTTTAAAATAGCGTGCGTGACCTCTTTTTTGAAAGGCAAGCAAATGGATTTTTAGGGTGTCCCACCCAGGAAGCAAAACAACAAATTAATAATTGATATTTATTCTTCCGAGAAATGAAGTCACAAAGAAAAGAGATTTTGATGCAAGTTTTTTCTGCTCTTTCCTAAACTCTTGTAACTACCAATTAATTTGTTACTTTTGATAGAAAACTACATTAGTTAAAATAAAGGAATATACACTGAGATATAAACTATAAAATATTTTCTCTTCTATAGGGGAGAAAATGCAGGGTATTTGTATGGACAGTTACTTGTTTTCAAAATCACTCTAGTCTTCCCCTTCCCTGGAGACAGAAAATGAGCAAGAATCTGTGGGTTAACAGAGAGCAGTCAGAAAGCCACACTGCCCAGAACATTATGAATTACTGTTCTGTAATGCAGAAAGCCAATAAAGTCATTGCTATACACACATCATTCGCAACTGATGTCATCAGTAAATTTAGCAACAAAGAAACTGCTCCCATTCACAACTCATTACCCTGTGAAGGGAGATGCCCCACTCTAAATAAGAGTTTGGAAACAAAGACTCAAACAGTCAAGAACCAGTCATCTGAATTAGTGCTATTCCTGTGATGAGTGCTATGTATTACAGACAAATTCCTCTGAACAAAGCTGAAGCAGAATCTAAACTCTCATCCACAGGGAAGGAAATTCCAACCAAATGTAAGGGTGAAAAAAGTCACAATGAGGGTGTTTAAGCACTGAATTTATTAAGAAAGTTGTAGAATCTGTAGCCTTGGAGATCTTCAGAACTTTGAGTTCTGCTTTGAGCAGTAGATTCAACTTTTTAATTCTGTATGTCCATAGTTATGCATTACTATTACAATCTTCAGCACGTAGAAAATGTGTCACCCATCTAAGTGTTTTATTTTTGTTGTTAAGCAGTATTACGTAAATATTTTTGTTCTTTACATCCAAT